CAAGACTGTGGTACTCCTGGGAAGGAACAATTAAAAACTGGAGAAACCTCCAGGGAAGCAGATTTGTAAGGCAAGAAAGGTATCTGTGAAGTTGGTCATGTAGAGTGTTTTCATCCTCATCTGTCCTTGCTATTTAGGGGAAGCTGGTCTGTCAAGTGACCAGTGATGCTGTCACTCCCCGTGGGCAGCAGCTTGTTCTATTAACTAATGAGAGTGCCACGGGGGGATAAACACCTCTTAGGCAGGCTCTCCCCTGGGTGCTTGGCCTTTCCTGCCCAGACTGCTGCAGACTGGCAGGTCTGGGTGGAGGGAGGAAGAGACTGAAGTAAAAGCAGAAAATACCTAAAGAGAGGGCCTGGCTTCTGCAAAGAGGGCCCTGTGATGCTATGCCTTTATAATTTGGCAAACAGAATGTGATGCTGTTTGAATTTGCAAACTAATGATAAGAAATAATTGCTAAATAGCTCAATAACTGACAGGAAATTGCCCTTGTTTATAACAATGCAGCAAGACAATTCAATTAGGACTACTGTAGATTAAAAAAAAATGTTTGTTTACATGATTCATTTCCTACAATGACAATAGATGAAAGAGATAGACAGGATGGGGAGGAGAGAGGCCTGGAAGAGTTTAAAAGCCTTCTTGTTTCCAGAGGAGGTCTATGGATCCAAGGGAGGCAGACCAGCAGAAACCTGGTTTTCTTCTTTGGGCTGTTAAGGAGAAAGAAATGAATGATAATGGTTGCCACAGTAGGTTTCTCCCTGGACTCCTTGGTGGGAAGAAGGGAGGTTGAGTGGGAAACTAGGAGAAAAGTCCCTGAAGGTTCCTTCACATGCAGGCACACACACACACACACACACACACACACACACGCACGCACGCACGCACGCACGCACGCACGCACGCACTCGCGCACACTGCTCATTTTCTCTAGAAGCTCCAGATGATGGCCATAGTGACCAGGGCTGCTGTGCGCAGTTTACTGATTCCAATGGATTCTTAGAGCTGATGGGCATCACATTTTGACATTTGTTCTGACCCACCTACCGCCTCCTTCCAGGTTCAAGGTTCTTGCCCCCCACCTCCCACCCCAAACTCGAGCTTGGCTCTAGCTTTCCTTTCTCAAGAACCTAGTGTTAAGAGAACGCTTTACAGGTTTTCTTTGTTTAAGGTCCTTCCCAAGTAGAAAACTGGTTCTTAAAACCAAAATTTATTTTAGCCACAAGGGAGTGTATCTGTTGTGTTAGAATTACTAATATTGGTGGGTAGAGAGCTGAGTGCTTAAATCCTACATGTCTTCCCCTGAAGGGCTCACCCTGAGGCACCAGGTTCATTACTCCACAAGAACAAAGAGGAACACTGAATTATCAGGCAGGGAGAAAGAAAGAATTCCAGAGCTCATTGAAAAAGCCATGGTTGAAACTATTTGAATCTTTGAACCGAAGTCTCCTTTGTGGTGTACGTGCAAATAAAATATAAATACCACTACACTCTCCTTTGGCAAAACTATTTATGTAAATCGCAATTTCTACCCAATGACTCCTGAAGAGTTACAACAATATTTGAAGGGTAGGAGAGAATTGGAGACGTGACAGCAACTGATGGAGAGATTTATGGCAAGTATCTACCAAGAACTATCCACTGGTACTAGATACTTTTCCATTGCTAGGATAAAACACCTTGATGAAGGCAGCTCATAGAAGAAACAGTTGATTTGAGTTTACGGTTCCAGAGGGTTAGAGTCCATGATGCTGGAGCAAAGGAATGTTGGCTGAAGCAGCAGTTAAGAGCTCACAATATTGAACTTCAAGCAGGACGCAGAGAGAATGAACTGGAAATGGCACAACTCCTCTTTAAACCCTCAGAGCTCATTTCCAGTGACATGCTTCCTCCAACAAGGCCACATTTCCCCAAACAGCACCATCAACTGTTAACCAAATAGACTATGGAGGACATCGCATTCAACCACCAGACCACTTTGTCCTTTAGTTCTGATAATGTCACATAATAGAGATATCTCAGATCCATTTTTGTGAGGGTGTCTCTCCCACCAGTGAGGACCAGGGGCTCTAAGGAAATGATGGGGGGGGGGGGGAGCAGGGAGACAGTGTAGCACATGTTATCATCTTAAAACACCCATTCCCCTCCTTGTGAACAAACCCAGGGAACCAGCTAAGCCTGGTGTCTTGCTCTCCTTTGCTTACAGAAGTGAAGGAGTATTGCAATTTCTTGTTTCCTATTGCAGGAATTTTCAGAGCAGAATGTTAAACTCTTACCTGGACATTCAAGTATAATTCCATCCCTTCTCCCTTCCTATTCTATTTCTGCTTCCCTTTATGGCCCCTCCACCATCCACCAGAGAGGCTAAAACTGTGGGAGAGGTTGTTTGGCTCACTCTTCCTGCCTTGGAACCCAATTACAGCTGGCTGCTGCAAAATTAACATTCACAGGCATGGAATTATGTTATAGACGCTTTATAGAAATCACTCAATCAAACAGAGTGAAATCTTTTTTATATGGCAATCATTTCCCACCATCAAATTTCATAGGAAAGAACAGTTTGATCGAACCACCTAGTTAAACTGCGTATGAAATTAGTCATTCCCACCATAAACAGTGTTCTGCTGCCTTCCCGGACAAAAGCTAACAGAATCAAGGTAGTAATTGGTTAGGAAACGACAGGTCCTAATTCTGTCTGAATTGGATCCCTGTTCCTTCCTCCATCAAACTGGAAGTTCTAGAGCCAGGTCCACCCCCTTTTTTCCTAAGGCAGTCCAATAGAATGGACAAAACTCAGGTTTTAAAGTCCTTTTCATATTAACTAGTGATGGGATACCAGGGAGACTCATAACTCTTTCTGGACTTGTGAGATTCAGAATTAGGCTTGGTGTCTTTTTGGTGGAATCAGTTTCTGACTCTGTTCCCTGAAAAGATGGACTCCATGGGAGTGCTTAAATGAGCCCACTCCTTTGGGATAAAGCAAAGAATGTAATGGAGAATAATAAAGAGGGGATGAAGTCAGCCCCTTTACAATAAGCCAGTGTTGTGTGTTCTTCTGGGCAAAATAGTTGTCCTCAAGATGAGTGACGTCTAATTTTTTATTAAACGAACATGAGCCACCACATGTCTGTTATCAGCATTCTGCTCCCTTTCAGGTAGCTCTTTGGATTATGACTATAAGACCCCATTTCCTTCTCCCACTGAGTCTATGACATTCTTCTCTGCCCTACCTGATTATTATGAAGCCACACTTGCCCTGCAGGACTAAAGGCAGTTCCTGGAGAGGGTCTCAGGTGTACCCATGCAGGCACAGCAGCCTGCAGCTTTAAGATGTTAAGGATTTAGGCATAATAGCTTCTGGCTGTGAGCTCTCCTCATTTGCCTCCCAGCAATGCTGTTAGTTAGACAGCATCTTATATATTCTGGATCACATGGTCTTAAATGAGATTCCAGGTGCAAAAGTAGTACCAGACTTATTTTTTTGGTACGGTGTTTAACAGTTTATAAATCAGTTTCACATACATATCTCATTAAAGTTTCAGAACCACCCCATGAGGTAGATAGTTGTCATTATTTCCAATCTTTGGGTAAGAAAATAAAGGTCCAAAGAGATGAAATGGGTTTGTTGAAATTCTCAGCCAGAAAATGAAAGAGTCAGCATGAGGATTGAGAGAATTGATGCATTTAATAGAAAATATGGAATAAGAAAATTCTAATGGCAATAGGAAGCCAAGGAAGGTCATTGGACTTCCCTCACTTGCTTGGGGTCATCTCTGGACTTTCCTAGTCATTTACTTACTTATAGACATCCATCTTATTCTCTCCCTAGACTAGCCCTGACTACTTCTGAGCACAGGAAGAGAGAAGCCACGTGTTCTGCCTCCCCCACCTCACGTGCCTGGACTCTTTAGCCTCTGTAATCTCACCTTATCACATTTTGTGGGGCAAAGAAAACCATGAGGACAATTTAGAGTCATGCAGTTAGGAAGTAGACTTTGCTATTGGATAGGGGGAGCTGAAACATTCTGTGGTCATAGTTGTCAACTCTCTCATTGCATAGTCTCCTCACAGCTGCACAGACAGGGGTCTTTTTGAATAGTCAGGTGCACCCACATTGGGCAGGAGAGAGTTCTAAAATTCATGGCCAGGCTGCTGAAATACTTCAAGTCAGTAGAAAGAGCTTTGGACCAATCAGGGATTGGGGTTCCTCTTCCAGCCTGTTATGAGCCAATTGATGATGGGTAGCTCAACTTCAGTCTGGTCTTCTGCAATGGGAGTTTAATGCTGCTCCCAATCTTCTCCTAGCATGATTGACCTGATCAAATGAAACACAAGGTGGGCAGTTTCTGCCTCACAGAGCTGTGACCATCACACTGGGTGAAGGCAGTAACAGCTTTTGCAGTGACTGCCATTATTCTGTTGTTCAGTGAATCCTGATTCGAAATCCCTTTCCTTTAGGCTATATAAGCTTCTTAAGGGATTTTTACCTCTAGAGTCATGGAGTAACAAACACATAGAGAGAGAAGTGATTTGCTTAAGGACACTTGGTGGCAGAATACCCTTGTTCTTGTTCTTCACTGCCCCTAGGCCAGTGCTGCCATGTCATAAAAAATACCACCCAATAAATGGGTGGAAGAAGCAATTTTTTTCCCATACAGAATTTATGTCCTTGGAAGAGAGAGAGAGAGAGAGAGAGAGAGAGAGAGAGAGAGAGAGAGAGAGAGAGAGAGAGAGAGAGAGAATGGTTATCTGACTACCTAAATAATTTAAATAATTTCTCATAGACTTTCTTTGGTACCTCAGGAAGAAAACAGTACCCGATTCGTGGTTTTCTTTTTTCTTTTTTTTTTTAACTTTTTTTATTAAGAAATTTTCTATTCACTTTATATACCAACCACAGATCCCCCCTCTTCCCTTTTCCTACCCCCAGCCTTCCCTGCAAAACCACCCCCAATCCCCACAATTTTCCAAATCAAAGTCTCCCATGGGGAGTCAGCAGAGCTTGGTACACTCAGCTGAGGCAGGTCCAAGCCCCTCCCCCCTGCACCAAGGCTGTGCAAGGTGTCACACCCTAGGCATTGGGCTCCAAAAAGCCTGCCCATGCACCAGGGACAACTGGGGACCCCCCAAACAGTTCAAGCAAACAACTGTCTCCCATATCCGGAGGGCCTAGTCTAGTCCTATGGGCCTTGATAGCTACAAGTCCACAGTTCATGGGTTTCCACTAATGTGGCTGGTCATCTCTGCATGTTTTCCTATCATGATCTCCACATCCTCTACCCACAGAATCCCTCCTCTCTCTCACTGGTTGGATTCCCAGAGCTTAGCCTGATGCCCAGCCATGGATCTCTGCATCTGCTTCCATCAGTCAGTGGACAAAGGCTCTATGATGACAGTTAGGATATGAATTTCTTAGTGTTCTCACCTTAGGCTGACTCTTTAGTTCAGGCCCATTGATAAACTACACAGTGGTTTTCATTTGGAATTCTAATCAGTTCAAGACTGAGAAGCAAATTGTATACTACTTTATTATTTCTGTGCATATTTTCAGCAAGGAGGGACCCTAAGAGAGGCACATAGATAGCCCAGCAAAGGAGAAATAAATGAGATCTACATGAGCAAACTGGGAGTGTGTGGGAGGGTAATGGAAGGCAAAGAATGGGGATGAGAACATAAGGAAACGGGAGGATTGAGCTGGACAGGGACAGAGTGGGAGAGCAAAGAAAGAGATACCATGATAAATGAAGATATCATGGGAATAGGAAGAGGAAGGGTGCTGGGGAAGCTCTCAGGAATCCACAAGGATGACTCCACCTTGGATTGCTGGCAGTGGTTTTCTTTCTGCTATAGGAAGAGGGGCTTCATTCAACACAAAACTGGTTGAGAAGCTCGTGGACTGCACAGTAGAAGAAAGTACAGAGCTGTATGGGCTGGGCCCGATTCTCTCTCTCTCTCTCTCTCTCTCTCTCTCTCTCTCTCTCTCTCTCTCTCTCTCTTTCTCTCTCTCTCTCTCTCTTACGTGATCTTTGTCACATCATCATATTCTGGGACTCAGAATCCTCTCCTGCAAGGTAAAGAATAATGGTATGATCGGGAATCAAACTTGTAAGGTTCTTCTCAGGTTTAGTATTCCTCAAATGCAATTCTACACTGAGTAAGTTTCCCATACAGCGTTACATCTCTTCCATCTCTTCAAGAGATGCAACTGGGAAGAAAATGGGGAAGATGCTGGCAAAAATTTACAGTTCTCATCACAGAGTGGCTATTGCATAAGTCTTAGGTCAAAAGCCACAAGGTTTCTCTGCATAAGTAAGTTCAGCATTCTCTTGACAGCTCCAACTTGCCTAGCATCCTGAGAACCCCAGCCAATGAACTTTTGGTGGTAGGCTGCCTCCAGCCTTCTGAATTCTTCCAACTGCTCAAACAGCTCTAGACACTTCTTCACTGTTGTAAAAGGCACATGCAAGTCTGGTCTCTTTCCCTCTTGGCAAGGAACCTCAAAGTCCGGCAATGTTGTGGAGGTCCCTGCAAGTGTCACAGCCAGCCTCGAAACCATCTGTAGGAGAGGCAAAAATGAAACTTGGTTCAGTTCACCTTAGTTACCCAGCACTGGTTCAAGCTTCTGGAGTCTGATGCCAAGTATTTTATTTTATTTTACATATTTAAACATAGTAAAACTCGGGGAAAAGTTTCCTTGTGATGATTATCACGACAAAGCTTTAGGTATGCCTACATCCAAACTTTGCAAAGTACATCTCTATAGCAAAACACCTGTGACTTCTCCCATAAGAATAGGCTGTATGGACTGTGAAGAGTGCTCAGGATAGGGCCAGGCAGGATGGGTTTATAATAAGTATAAGGATGGGTCCTATTGACTGTGAAGAGTGCTCAGGATAGGGGCCAGAGAGAATAGGTTTATAATAAGTATAAGGATGGGTCCTATTGACTGAGAAACAGTGCTCAGGATAAGGGCCAGGGAGAAAGCATTTGTAAATAAGCATAGCAAACTCTTTTGCAAAGTATATGGAACCTCTTTCATGAGAATGGGTTCTCTTGACTGAAACAATGCTCAGGAGTTTGGGAGAATTGTGGTGAGGGCTAGCTCCATAGACTAGCAAAGGATCACCAGTTATCAAACATCATCCACTCCAGCCTGCCAGGTGAATAGGTGTTGATTTCTTCCATTGAAGAAAAAAGTCTGAGTGTTTAACAATTCTGGTTTCTCTAGTGTTTATCTGTGAGCACATGAACTTTATATCCTTCTAAACAATCTGATCATCAGGTAGTGCAGATTTCCTGGAGCTGTTATGCTGGATGCTGTTTTCTGAGTATGTGAAGAGTATGCTACAGCCAGCATTCCCAGGGTGTCTTCTGGAGAACTATCATACAAAACTGCATGCTACTTCTGTCTCCTCGGGTGAGATATCAGGTATGAGAATGATAGAGAATGGAGGTGAAGTAGAGAGATACAGTTGAGAATCAAAGGGCTGGGAGAACTCAGAGATCAAATGATGACAGTATTGAAAAGGGTGGTTTTACCCAGGAGCAGTTACCACAGGTTCTTTTTGTTGTCTTTCTCCAAGCATCATGATATCCATATTCATGCCACATCTGCATTTTTACATGGAAACCCTCTTTGGGTCATTGTTTTGAGAATTGAGAAGACCAAGGATATAGTTCACTCATAGAACATCGGCTTACCAGGCCTGAAGTCCTAGATTCTGCCTTTAGCAAAGCAGAAAATTAAATGTAGAGATTGGGTTTGTGGTAGGTCAGGGACAGCTGTGCTCATGACAGCCCTCCCCCTGGCTGGGTGGGTGAGGAGAGGTGGTGGTAAACACTCTAGCCAGATTCACCTCCCTTGCATTGAGCAGCAGCCAGCACTTGCTGCTACTGTTTCTGCTATACCATGTCCTTGACAACTACAGATTCTATTCTTATGGAAGATAGAAAGCTCACACCCTGGAAAGTAAAATGCTTATTCACTGGTGCCCAGACTACAAAGCCTTGAGCATGAGGTTGATAATGTGAGATCTTCTCATGGCTTTCTTAATCAAGACTGAAGTGTTGACATTACTCTGGGTGGAAACAACAGAGAGAAAACACTTGAGAAGAATGAATTCCCACTACTTTTAGACTTTGTGGCCCCCATATTAGATGTGGCCCAGAACCAAAGTGCAACCAAAAGGATTTGTGGGAGATTAACCTCCAAGATCTATTGTTGAAAGGAACTTTTGGCTATGTCGATAATGCAGGAGACATGAGCTACAATAATCTTAATAGTGCTAGCCATAAAATCAAATGTCATCCAGAGGAAAATGAATAAATAAATCATACAACATTTATTCAATTCATTCAATGGCATGTTCTATAGCAACAACACATAATCATACAAATAATACAGATGTATCTCAGCAATCCAATATTAGTGGAAAAATAAATCCTGAGAATTACATACAGTATGGTGCCCTTATAAATCATTGTTATTTGGGGAAAGATGTAGATAGCACAAAAAGAAAACAAAAACCAAAGTTGAAAAGTGATTCAGTTGGAGGTAACCTGGTCCTGATACAGGAAGCTTCCTTTGGTGACAAGAGATGGCCAGTTGGGACTATGTCTCCCCCATTATTTCGAGACTTCATTAGAATTACCTTCATATATTTTAGGAAGATTCTACTGAACTAGGTTTCCATGCCATGCTTCAAACACCCTGCTATTCTAGCTATCTCTCCCAATAATCTCTTTGTCAATCCCATCCCCTCCTCTCCTGATCCTCCCATTCTCACCTCCCCAGTCCACCCATAAAATCTATTCTCTCTTCTATTTCCCCATCCCAGGGAGATTCATGTGTCCCCCTGGACCCTTCTTCTATACTTAATTTCTCTGGGTCTATATTGTAGTTTATCATTTACTTAATGGCTAATGTTCACATATAAGTGAATACATTTCATATTTAATTTTCTGGATATGGGTAACCTCAGGATGATTTTTTCTAGTTCCATCAATTTGCCTGCAAATTTCTTGCTGCCATTTTTCTTTAACATCTGAATGATAGTCCATTGTATAAATGTTCCACATTTTCATTACCAATTCATCTGTTGAGTGTGGTGGTATTGTGTTCCCCAAAATATTGTATACCCTAATAAACTTATCTGGGGTCAGAGAACAGAAAAGCCACTAGATATTTAGGATAGGCAGTGGTAGCACACGCCTTTAATCCTAGCATTGAAGAGTCAGAAATCCGTGTGTTCAAGGATACATCCAAGAGGTGGGATGGGAGGTTTTTGGTTGTTTGAGTTATGGATATTGTTATTGTTTATGACGGTTGGTTACAAGTTGTTAATTAAGCTTCAGGCTTTCGAGCAGCAGTTCAGCTGAGACCCATTCGGATATGAGGACACAGAGACTTCCAGTCTGAGGAAACAAGATCAGCTGAGAAGTTGGCCAGGTGAGGTTAGCTGTGGCTTGTTCTGTCTCTCTGATCTTCCAGTTCACCCCAATACTTCGCTCCAGGTTTTTTTTTATTATTATTAATAAGACTCTTTAGATTCATACTACATCTGGCGCCAAACGTTCGTGGTACGAATTCATGAAAAAGCTGCTTGTCTGTGGCCTTGTGGGCCCCATCTCAGGCCTGAGCTACACTCAGCTGGGTGTGGTGGCGCATGCCGGTAGGATTTACTGAAGAAGGCAAAGGCAGGAGGATCCCGAGTTTGAGGCCAGCCTAGGAGAAGCTACGACCAGGGCTGAACCACAAACAGTGGTGGGACAATGGAGGCAAAAGCTGCTGCTCCAAGTTGCTGGCTCCTTCTCATCGTGTTGGTGACTGCAGTGATGCTGCTACCTGGGACAAAGGGTTTACTGCTGCTTGTTCAGAGAAGAATTGCCAGGACCATTGTGTTACAAGAAAGTATCAGCAAAGGTCAGTTTGGAAAAGTTTGGCAAGACAAATGGTGGGGAGAAATTGTTGTGAAGATTTTCTTTTCTAGGGAAGAACGTTCATGGTTCCAAGTGACAGACATTTATCAGACTGTGATTGCTGCAAACCACAGGAGGCACCAAAAAAAAAAAAAAAAAAAAAAAGGCTACAGGGAACCATAACCATGCCTAACAGCAAATTTGAAATCTTCAAAAGGATGATGGGATCCCACAACAATGATTCCACCTGGACTATGGTAAAGCCATTAAGACGATTAACACCACTGAAAGATATCCAATTTTTGAGTTCTTTACATATTTTGTGTATTAGTCCCTTAATGTAGAGTTGGTTAAAAAAAATGAAAATAAAATAAAACAAAACAAAACAAAAAAAAACACACAAAAACTTTTCTTTTCTGCAGGTTGCTGCTTTGCTGAGTGATGGTGCTATTTGCCTTACACAAAAGCTTTTCAGTTTCATGAGATTCTATTTATTAATTGTTGATCTTAGTGCCTGTACTATTGGTGTTCTGCTCAGAAAGCCAATGTGTTCAAGGCTGTTCCACACTTACTTTCTAATCAGGTTCAGTGCATCTGATTTTATGTGAAGGTATTTGATCCATTTGAAGTTGAGTTTTGTGCATAGTGGTAAATATAGATCTATTTGGATTCTTCTACATGCAGCCATCCAGTTTGGCCAAAACCATTTTTTGAAGATGTTATTATTTTTCCAGTGTGTATTTCTGATCTCTTTACCAAAAAATCAGGTGTCCATACATATGTGAATTTAATTGTCTGGGCCTTCAATTCAATTCCATTGATCAATGTGCTTGTTTTTATACCAATACTATGCTGTTTTTCTTACAGTAGCTTTGTAGTACAACTCGAAATCTTGAAATTGGGAATGGTGATACCTTTGATAGTTCTTTTATTTTTCAGGATTGTTTTACTTATTGTTCTAGCTAAGATTTCAAGCATTATATTTAATATGTATAGGAAGAGTAGACAACCTTGTCTTGTTCCTGATTTTATTAGAATTTCTTTGAGTTTCTCTTCATTTAGGCTGGCTATGGGCTTGCTATAAACTGCCTTTATTACATTGAGGTATTTCCCTTGAATTTCTAATCTCTACAGGACTTTTATCATGAAGAGGTTTTGGATTTTGTAATAGGCCTTTTCTGTATCTAATGAGATAATCATGTAGTTTTCTCTTTCAGTTTGTTTATATGGTAGATTACATTTATCATTTTTTTATATTAAACCATCCCTGCATCTGTGGAATAAAGCCTACTTGACATGGTAGATGATCTTTTTTATATTCTTGAATTCAGCTTACAAGTATTTTATGGATTATTTTTACATCTGTGTTCATAAGGAAAATTTTTTTTTAATTCTCCTTTTTTGTTGGGTCTTTATGTGGTTTGGGTATCAGGGTAACTGATGCCTCATGGAATGAATTTAACATAGTTCCTTCTGTTTATTTTTGTGAAAAAAATTGGAGGAGTAGTGTAATTACCTCTTCTTTGGAAGTCTGGTCACTAAACAAAGCTTCCAGGACCAGGATTGGGTTGTCTTTAATTGAGATACCAGTCAAAAAATCCGATGGAAATCTCCAAACAACATAGGCTGTTGCCAAGACTGTATGTTGCTCTCAACACACTTATATCAAGGTCCCATTGCTGAAGACAACACTCACCCAACTTACTGAACATGTAGAAGTCGAGCTTCTGCCCATGTAGAACCTTCACCCCTAGCTTCTAGCATCTTTGGTACAGGAAGGTACTCAGAAGGCAACTAAAAAAGAATGTTAAACATCAAAATAGTCATAAACCCTTGGATTTATAGGGCTGTCCTGCCTGCAAAATATGCAAGGGCAGTAGTAGCACAAAACTTGTGAGTGTAACCAACCAATATCTAATTTGATATAAGGCCCACTCCACAAGATGAAGCCCACACCCAACACTGCTCGGGTGACCAAGAACCAGAGAGTAGATGCCCCAGGGACTTAAGGTATGATAAAATACTACTATTCTTAATAAAATGTGGTGATAAAATGACTCCTAATGATATTCTGCTACACTTACAGATCAGTGCTTTATTTGGCTACCATAAGAGTTTAACCCTGTAGCAAATGAAAACAAATACAGAGACCCACAGCTAGACATCACAGAGAGAGAGAGAGAGACAGACAGACAGACAGAGACAGAGACAGAGACAGAGAAACAGAATCCTTGGAACACACAGCTCTAAATGGGATGTATTCATTAAATCTCTCCTATCGGAGCTCAGGGAACTCCACAAAAGAGGAGGTAGAAAGAGTATAAGAGCCAGAGGAGATGGAGAACACCAGGAAAATAAAGCTCTCTAAATCAACTGAGCAACATTCATGTGAACTCACAGAGACTGGAAGAACAAGCACAAGACCCGCACAGGGTTGTGCCTGGTTCTCTAAATATGTACTATAACTATCAGTTAGTATTTTTATGGGGATCGTCAGTGTGCAAAGGAGTGGGTCTCTGATTCTTGTGCCTTCCCTTGGGTTCTTTTTTCTGTTGGTTTGCCTTGTCCAACTTAAATGTGGTGGATTTTGTTTCTTCATATATTTTATTTTGTTATGTTTTGTACTTATTTCTTAGAAGCCTGTTCTTTTCTAATGAGAGGCAGAAAGACAGCAGATCTGGATAGGGGGAAGGAAGGGAAAAACAGGGAGGAGTAGAGGGAAGGGAAACTGTAATCGGGATATACTGTATGAGAAAGAATCTATTTTTCAATAAAAGGGAAAACTTCAGAAAAAATAAAAGACAAATTTCTCAGGATGGTGGTTATTTCTCATAAAGAAATGGGATAGAGTCATCATATTTTCAACCTAGGTAATTATTTGCATGGTGTATTTGTAAATGCATGTCATGTTATGGAAAACATACAATAAGTAAATAAAATAAACTATACCCAATTCGAAACTGAGAGCATGCCATGAGCAGAGGTCATGATCATTCAACTCAAGCATCTATTTTACTTGGTTCTGTCCCACTGTGAATACCTGATAGAAAAAACTTGAGGTCAGATTTCTTTCATGGTTTCAGAGGATTACAGTCCATTCCAGTATTGGGGAACATGGTAGAGGCTTCCCATACCACGGCAAACTAAGATGTAGAGAATGAATCCAGAATTTTCCAATACTCATCCTTAGTGACCTATTTCCAATAGCTCTGCCATACTTTCTAAAGTTTCCACGACTTCTTAGAATAGCACATTAGCTAGGGTACCACAAGCACTCAAAAGACAAGGGTGTGGGGGATGTTTCAGATTCAAATCAGAAAAGCACTCAAGAAAAATCTCTCTGGGGAGGCATATAAGGGGATCTCAAATCATCTCTAAGAAAGCCACAAAGCTGGCTATGTGTTTGGCATCTTCTTTTCTACTCTGAGCTGATAGCAGGATGAGAGTGCAGCCCAAGGCCACTTTCAATCATGTGAAAAGTCAAAATCATTGCCCCTTGTATTGGTTTTCTATTACTTCTGTGACAATTTGTCACAAATTTAATAGTTTAAAACAGAAGTGCATTTCTGTAAATCAGAAGTCTAATCCATGTTCTGCAACATGTCATCCACACTGTGTTTCTTTCTGGAGTCTCTAGAGGACAATTATTGTTGGATCCTCTCAAAGACAATCTGTCTTTCCAGATTCAAGTGTCTCTCTCATTCTTTCATGGCCTTTCCTCATCTGTATAGCATCAGTAGCAACTTGAGTCTTTCTCACATTGCATCATATGGTACTACCTCTGTTTTCCTGTCCATCTCTAAAGATACCTGTGATCACACATGTAATATAATAATCTCTCCACCTCAAATCCTTAACTGAAAATCACCTGCCAGGGCCTCTTTTGCCACGCAAGGTAACACAGCATATTTGCTAGTTCAGAAAATTACACAGGACCTTGATTAGAGAGCCATCGTTCTGGCTACCACACTCCAGTGAAGACCCATCCAATTAGCTCATTTAAACTAACTTCCTCTCTCTCTTCAACCCTGCTTCAGTTGCTTTGGAAGCAGCTGCTTTGAGGGTACAGAACTGGAAGAAAGGAATGAGAATTAATAGACTGAGAAGGCAGGAGCAGGATACATTAAGGGCTTGACTCCATCTCAGAAATCACCAGCCCCCGAGTGAAGTCAGGCTGAATCAGTCCCTAACTCATTTCATTGAGCAGGGTATTGAAAGTCTGGGCCACAGTAGCTGAGTGCATTGAGGCATGTAGGCTTGCTTTGGAGACAGGGAATCCTGACAATATGGATTTAAAAGGAAAGTCAAGAAATTCAAACTCTTTTATAGAGATGTAATATTGGAGCTGGCAAGCCATGTGTTGGAGCCTAGATCAATGTGTAGAATCAATAGCCTCGAGCCAGGAACTGGTGGAGATTCCTCTTTTCTTATCACATTTTGTGTAGCAAGATTCTTTATAGAGTCCATTTTAGGGCCACACAACTTGAAGTCCTATGGAGAATATATAAAGATGAAAGAGTTCTCAAAATAAATAGAATGTGTAAAGAGACAAGAAATATAACCAACTTGTTCTGAAAGAAGGGATCCAAAGCAGTGGTACCCATTGTCTTCAGATTAGCTTTGTCACACAAGTCACTGGGACAAGTCAATACCTAGTTTCTCATCTAAGCATTGAGAATTTTACCTATGAAGTTTGATGAGTGTAGTGTTCCTGGCATAAAGCATGTTTAACCTATTCTCTGCTGTCTCCAGTTTGATAACTGACATGCCTTTTCCTGCTGCACAGCCTTCCTTCTGCCTCCTGCACCTACCCACTGGGGATTTTGGAAGAGACACATGGCTCAATGGTAAACAGGAGATGACTCCTGTAGGCTCAGAGTTGAATTCACCCTTTTCATCCCAACTCCATGTTTACATTGGTAGCTAGGTATTATGGGAACATTTACACCACTGAAAAGGACAAACGACACCAATAGGATTCTACCTATGAACTCCATTGGAGCCACTTACCAGAACCCATTAATGGATAGCATTATTATTTAGGCTGGTGTGCTCATGAGGAATAGGACACTGTTAACAACACAACTATAGAGGATGCCATCCAGCTGTCTAGTCTATACCTGTACCATTGTAGACCTTATGTAGCATGCTTTGAATTTAATAATGTTGCTATTGAAATCAAATGAACTGATATATAACACTTTTAGCCCAGGACCTTGTATGTCATATCCCTTCACTAAGTGTGCTGTTGGGTTCTGCTAGTACCAGTATCATGGCATAGCAACTTTACCAACACCGTTGTTAGTGCATGAAGGAACAGGTTTTTTTCTTTTGTATTTTGTGTATTAAAATGGAAGCAATGCAGCATTCTTATGTGTTGGTAATCCACAGAGTTAAAGTGAAAGCCTCATTTCTGAATCCCATGTTTTCCTTCCCCAGTTATAATATATGGAGGTTGGAAGTGAATACAGAGACATACCACTCTTTCTCTCTAATCAGAAAGGCTTTATTATTAAACTAACCAGCTCACACTTTCTTCCCTAAAGATCAGTTCATTGCTCAAAATAGAGACGTGTACATTTCAGCCCTAAGACTGAACAGCCAGCTCACAGAGCACACTAGAATTCCTGACACCAATGTTAGGGTGCCAGGCCCACAAACAAACTGGAAAACCTTGTCATTAGAGGGTCTATGTGTCTACTGGGACTCCATCTCACTAAGAATCAAACAAAAACAAAATCAGGTTGTGTCTTTGAGAAAGAGGCAGCTTCTCAAATGAAAGGCATTAAAAGAGAATTCTTGAGGGAAGCAAGATGGTTTTTTCAAGGGTAACTTTAAAGTCAGAAAAAAAAGAGTTCTTGTTTTTCAGAATAGTCATGTCATGAACTGGTAAATACTCAGCATGAGTACTTAGTCTTCCCATGGGTGTCATGGCAGACACACCTAATTGATCATGGCCCTCTCTTCCTCCAAGCTCATAAGAAGCCCAGAATGCTTCTCAAAGCAACACTCTAGGCAGCCATTATCAATCAACCAGAATGGCAGGTAGTATTAAAATATACTTGACGTCTCCAGTTTAGATGAATCAGGGGAATGGAGGGGATGCTATTAAGGGGACCTTTTAAGTCCTAGGATTCCATAATACTCAATGATGGCATTAATATTGAATTGGGTTCTCAATCATGTTTAGGAGAGTTTTTGTTGGCTCCTGTATACGATAGGATCTCAATTTGCCACATATTTTCTGCTGATGAAATGTTGTTGATGGCAGTAGGCTGCTAATTATTATTACTACTATTAATAACAATAATCAGCCACTCTGATTTTCCTGGTTTACTAAAGAAGACAATTTCTTAGATTCATAAAGCATAACATCCCTGCCTCCCTCCTGCTGACCCCAGGCCCACGGCTGTTGTATGGAAGATACTACCTCTGCAAGATACCTTCTTCACTCTTCTGGGCTTCCAGCTCATGGCCTTTCCAAGGCTTTTCTCTTTACACTTTACAAAACTGTAAAGTCAAAACTGAGAAAGGGACTGCACAAGAAGTTGGCATCAGAGCACAAGAGAATCCCTATCTCCTGGCCATTGTAAACTTGAATCTCAGATCAGCTCCTTCTGTGTAACTCCATTCTTTGCAGTGACGTGCAATCATGATTGCATGGAAAGGTTGGATGCTCTAATTAAGTAAGATCTCTTCTCAATTACAAATTGAGTACATCTCTATTAGAAAAGTCACTGTGGGTTAACACTATATTTAGAGGCTGGGGGATCAGGAGACAGCACTGTGGAACG